CCTCCAACTACTCCCATAAACACATAAGACCCAGCTATAACTTGAGTAATTTCCTCAGCCTTTTCAGGGCTGTTGTACTGTTCTGAGGTGTGTAGGTATTAAGCTTTAATCCAGCTTAGTCAACTGCAAGGAGAATGAAAATATTTTGTAAAACACCTGAAGGCGAGCGAGGATGAGAAGGAGAGACACACCTGCCTACAGCACAGGGAACACTGGATTTGTCCCAGCTGGCCCAGGAGATGTCCTGAGACCTTGAAAGACATGTTCCTGGAGTCCTGCTGAGTCCTCCCCTCACTGTGAAGCTGTTCTTCTGAGCATCGTTTATCTGCCATTTAGAGACATTAACAAATAGCTCTGTCTCGCAGAGAAATAACACTAGAAATAATGAAGTCTGGCTTCCTAGGGGTTTGTGTTTCTTGGCTGATTACAAGCACTGATTGAAGCTGTTTCCAATCACAGGAGATGATTCCTATAACATTTCTTCTCACGTGGATTTTTAGGTCTTTCAAATGTGTATAGTCACAGTACAGTCTTCTATTTTTCAAGACTCTTCTCTGTGGTCTTCAGCTGCCTTTTTTAATGCAACATAAGGAAAACAGAGCCCTCTCTCCTCCTGGTACGTTTGTTTGAAATGATCACTAACAGAATGATTGAGGAACACATATAAACATACATACACTTACATACCTCTTCATGATCAGAAAAATATCGCTTCCTACAGAAATCAGGCTAAAATAATGGAAGCCCTAGAAAATTCATGATATACACACACCTACGTGCATCTCTGTACCACCGAAAAAGAAGGAAACAAGTGAGAAACAGCTCTTTAGTTTGACCCTATGTCGTTGTGGTCTGTCAGAAGGCACGGAGGATGAGGCAGGGGATGTTACTTGGGATGCTTTTACTGACAGCCCATGGCTGGGATACATTGCGATGGGAAATAGCTGGTGTTGCTTCGGCAACTAAACCAACCCAGACCTTCAGAGCACTAAAAATGTGAGAGTTCAAGCCACACATTTATTATGAGCTTTAGGAGTGTGCGATAAGCCTGATTCTCTTCCCACTTACACTAATGGAACGGTTGATTTTCAGTTAAGCTGCTTTTGGACCAGGTTGGCACAAGCAGGAAGAAAATGAAGCCCAGCTGCTTCATAACTCCTGTGACAAAATCAAAGGCGAGGTGGCTGCTGTGGCACAGTGACGGTGTTCTTGGCTGTCTTACGCTCTTACAAATCTGAGGAGTGGGAGGGAGAGTATGATGAAAGATTTAGGAAAAAAGGAGCATGAGTATGAAGTTTTCTTGCCAAAACAAATATATGTGGATTTGCAACATGTTTGGAACAGGGTCAAGTAGATTTTACAGAAAGTTCATTAGTCTGTGTTCCTGCTTACACAAGCCTATACACTAAAATGCTGTTATATAAAACTGTTTAAAGACATGTGATTTAACATTGTATAACTTTATCAGTTCCCGTATTCACTGAACACAAAGTAAATTAAATGTATTTACTTGCTCCTATTAGTTTCCCTCCTTTCATTTGCATGGACTTGACCGTTTTCCTCTCCTACTTGAAAGGAGTCAAGTAGCATCTGCAGCGAGATGCTTGCCTTCAGGACAAAATGAACACTGATAATTTCAGAAATAAAGAAATTATGTTCCTCACAAAAAAAAAAAAAAGAGAAAGTTTTAAATGCTGTTGCATTTTTCAGCAAGGAAAAATTCTTATCAGGCAATCTTTTAAAACCTAGTTCTTTCTCAAGATGGAAGAAATTCCCTTTCTTACTTAGTCAATGATTTCAACTACATTAAGCTACAGGCTTTGAAAAGTAATTGCTGAGAAGCCTGAATTTAAAAACATGCTTTTACAATAAAAAAAAAAACCCCAGAGGTGAGATTCATCGAAAATTTGCAGCATTTTGGGGGCATCATCCTATACTGAGAAATGGAAAGATCTTGTTTGTTATTTTTTTGACCAAAGCTCCCTTTGAGTTCAGCTGAGGTTTTGCAGATGCCCGAGCGGCTGCTGTTAATTCCCTGACCTGGCAAGTGGGGACCCGTGTGCAAAGCAGTGGGTCGTTATCTCGGCTCCTAGCCCCAGCGTTGGCACAAACAAACCCTCTCTGCCGTGGTACTGCTCATGAGCTGCTGCTCTTGGGGCACAGCATTGCCAGGGAATTGCTTGCAGTGCAGCGCAGGGCAGCCAGCGTTATCCAGTGCCACGGTCCGCTGCACAGGGGCGCAGGAAACCTTACACAGGGTCTCTTACAGATCTCTGCTGCCTGAGCCCTGTTACAGGGAGCCTGCTACCTTCAGAGAGAAGTCATCCTGGTTTCTGTCTCCTACTTGCTCTTGGGTCTAAGTCAAGGTCACTGGGTATCCCTATCTCTGTGAAATACGCGGGGTCAAGGCAGCAGTTACGCTCTTGGTTCTGCACATCAAGACCACGCAATATGCAAGAAAGGAGCACACCAAGCCCTATCTGTGCAACTGGAGTGAAGGAAAAGGTGGATATTTGGGACATGGTATGGAGCAGAGACAAAGGAAAGGCTTACGTGTTCTTACTAAACTTAGCTGAAGAGGAAAGATGAGAGAGCAAAGAAGTCAACTACGGGCACAAAGAGTCCTGCACTTTGCAAACAAGTAACGAGAAAAAACAAAGACCTGGCTGGAGGAAGTAACTTATTTTTATGCTGGCAATTTGGCTCAAAATCCTTCAACCTTGTTTTTTACAATGACATATTTAAAGAAATAATTCCTTAAGTAAATACTTTCCTCAGTGTATACCACCGAAATAACAAATGTTACAGTTCATTTCTCTTAAAAGCCCCAGCTACCACTTTTCGTAGTGCTCTAGGTTGGTCATCCAGAGGTTTGCATTCAATTTCCAATCCAGCTTTTTAAGAAAAAAAGTCTTTTATGTTGACATAGGGAAGTATTGACCTTCTTCTTTGCTCGTGTAGGTCTTCCACTAATTTTATAAGCAAAAGATTCTAGATCTGCTGGGTGCTTCTCAGGACAGGTATTTTCCCTAAATATGTGTGCAGTCACTTCTGAGATCTGCAAAAAAGACCTGATGCTAACACTGGCAGTGCTGCTTAGTCCTGGAAGTCACTGAGGTCTGCTCTGTATAATTTGGGTAGAAAGTGAGCTGAATGTGTGCCAGGAGGTACGAAACAAAGTGTCATGCTGCTTTTGTAATTGCCTAATTGGTCAAAATAATCCCCTCCTGCAGGGCAACCCTCTCTAGCAGCTCTAGCAAGGAAATGCAATACGAAATGAGGAACTGGGTTTTCTGAATAAACCCATTGTCGTTATTGCATTACCATTTTATGCTATTACAATTATTGCATAATTACCCACTTGTTGTGCGTACTCATGTCTTTTTACGTATTTCCTGCTGTCACAGTCCTTGTTGCATGGGACCACCCCAGAGAAGTCCTTTGTCAAACATTCCTGTGCTCTAATGATGCCAGAAAGTGTTTTGCTCTTTGGCAAGCAACCTCTCCACTATATTTCTTAGCACTTAAGACTTGTTTATCTACAGGCCTGAAGAAACTTGCTTACAGAGTTGGTATCACTAATGGATTGGTGACAGGCAGCAGTAAAACCACTTTGATCCCAGTCCTCAGGTGTTGTAACTTGTCTGAGGTGGATGGCTGAGCCACTTCCACAGCTGATCAAGCAGTTTGTAGCAGATTATTATAATTAAACACCTTTGAAGTGCCAAGGTATATGAAGCTCTGGTGTGATTCAGGTTGTAGAATTCAAATAAGATTTATAAATATTCCAATTTTTATAGGATATCGTGCTGTTTATGGAAATGTTTTTTTCTGCACGTTCAGATTTGTCCTGGTGAGGCTGCTCCACCTGGGAGAAGTACATGGTGGGAAATCAACCAGAGCTGAAAACCTGTCCTCACTCCTGATTTAATCTTAACCATATGTTTTCCAAAGCAAGCCATGGGAACTGCAAATCCCAGTGGAGATTTAGACCTAGCCTTGTCGCTGAACCAGGGTGCTCTGCAGTACTGTGCCAGTGTGACACACAGAGCTCAACTGAGCATGGGAAGAGCGAAGAGCGGTCCTCAGTCAGGCAGCCTGAGCCTGTGCCTCCAGCACATCACCACCACCAAAGTTAGAGCATTCCTCCGGTAGTCTGACCAGGAGAGGGTCGTCTCAACAGCTGAGTGTAAAGTAAAAAAAAAAAGCTTGGAGCCACCTTTGTAATTATGTCTCCAGGGCTGTACTCAGTAGTCACTACGAGCTCAGGAGGCAGCTTTGTCAGTTCCCTAATTAATGCTTTTTCTGGCAGCTGTTCGCGCTCTTCCTCTGTTTCCAAGAAGCACCGGCACAACCAGCGCTTACCCCAGCTGCCACTCATTGCCCACTGCAGCCAGCCGGAGCACCCTGCCCAACCCGTGGCAGCAGATATATGGGAGAGCTGTTGGTGGCAGACCAGAAAAAGCTCCACAAGGACATTTGAGAGTGCACCTATTTCTCACAGCCCCATCTACGACATCAAGTAAGTGGATTTACTGTTTTATTGGCCATGCTCCCACTAAGGGGAATACGTGTTGGAGAAATTTTGAAAAATAAAGAGAATATGTGGGTCTAAACAGTGATGTCAAAAGAGGAGAAAACACCCCATTTTTTTTTTGTTTTATGGCATGTGGGGACAAAAAAACCCACCCCATTTGAGCTGCTATAAGCATCTGTAAAGGTGATATTCAAATACCTGTCCATACCTTTTCTTCACAAAAAATAGCTTTCAAAAACCACAGACAATATACATTAAAATCTAAATAGAATAAAAATGAAGTAAAAATGCCAACATCTATAAAACGTCCCACAGAAAATACAATATTTAAAATGTTGCAATTCCACTCTGCTAGCACTGTAACTAAGAGCAGAATGGGAGAAATGGTTGGCTCAGGTAGTAATGTTACCAAATAAACAGGTTTTAATAAAAAAAGACTTTGAAATATGTAGATTTTAACTACTCTCTCTGAAAGCCTCAGTTACTGTCTGTATTTTTGAGGGACTGGAGTCATAGGGAGGAAAAAGTGATTTTTGAACGTGTAATGCCCACACTAAGCACATTGCTGGGTTTTTGCTTTGGACTAGCTCTGTTTGGTCCTGTGTGCTTAATTGCGATTAGGGGTGGAATTGTTTTGTTGCACCTCAAATCGGACAAGACTCTATGTCCCCAGGCTGCTCTGAGATGTGAAACACGGCATGATATGCAGCTGAGGGCAGCAAATGCAGTTGCCAAGTAAGATCCTGCTCTGAAATTAAACACTAATGTCAGCAACACACTTTGTTAATAATTTGTCAACACAAAGCAGACCCCTTATCTGGTTATCTTTTCTGCCTGTAACTTAGAGAAGTAATTTTAAAATGTGCCTTCTGCCTAAAATTGTACAAATAACAAAAGTGCTTAACAAGTTTGTATAAGAAAATTCCAATATGCAGGAAGAAAGTACAGGGATGCTTGATTTCTCAATGACTACTGGATCATTTTGGTGTTTTGTTACAGTACTACTTTATGCTAGTCTAAATCATTACTATTAACAAATCTAGGAGCTTCTGGAAGGTCACATCTAAAAAAGAATTTACATATTCCACTAATTGGATCATTTTGTAAAGTCTCAACTGTCTTGAAAAAATGGGCCTATAGTCTGAGTGACAGTTTGTGTTTGCAGATTTAGTGGGGATATGAAATTTTCCTATATCAAAGCTGAAGAACAGTTCTGACAGCTGCAAATATTCTCTGAATTAATAATGTGGAGCTGGTATGAGACAGTATTTAAGAAAAATCCATTTCTTTCTGCAGCATTGAAACCCCTTGCTTATAAAATATTTAACAGGATTAAAATTGGTATGCTGCTTGAACAGGAAGAGAAAACATGAAATCCACATATGAATCCAGAAGTAAAAATAATCATTAGTTTCAACTGTTATTAGTGATAACTTACAATTTGGGGTAAGTCAAACACCCTTGAAATACCTGCACCTGCTACTGGAATTCAAACCAGAATTTTGGCTCTGGCTTAGGAAAGAAAATTCACTTTCTAGCTTCATCATTTAAAACCCATTGACCAATCCTTATTTGCAGAAATTTTCTGTACTTCTTTAACTATAGCAAACACCTTTGGAAGATTAAATAAACTTGTAATCTGCTATGTAAACTCTCTGAATACCAACTGACTAATCCAAAGTTCTAGTTTGTCCTAACCCACACAAATCCTTCCCTATGTCACAGTGCTTTCTTACATCAGCTCTTTGTGACTAATACATTGTATAATGTCAATACAAAACCAGGAGACATGTCCTGGCTTTGTATTTCTTTTGTCTAGTAGTGAGAAAGCCTGGAGTAAAATTTTATCAGAAGACTTAAAAATGTAAGTTCAAGCCCACCTAAACTCCTCAGCTCGGCAGTTTAGCCATTCTATTCCCCGTTCCCACCTCCAGAAGTGAGAGAAACCTGTGGCTCATCTGTGTAAAACTCACCTTCACCTCAACCTTCTGCGGTCCCCCTAGGCAAGCCGGTGCTTTCCCAGCCGGCGAGATGCTGGTTGCGATGGAGCAAGTGAGACCTCGGGAGCTGCAGAAAGGTCCTACTGCCCAGAGCAGAGCACAGAAACCCCGACAGCCTCGCTGGCATTTATCTGGTGGAAGCCAGGGTGAGTGCACAGGGGAGGGTGAGATGAGAGGATGTTGCAAGCCTTGTCGGTCTGTGTGGGGTGAAAGAACTTCCCGTCAAAGTCTCAGGGAAAGTCCCATCTCTTGTATTTACAGCTGAGGTGAAGCTGTGGTTGCTTTTGTCATGCTGGCACTGACTTGCCCCTTGGCTATCGGCCAGAGCTACGGCTTGGCTGCATTCCCCCACTCTTGGAAGACTAACCTGCAAATTGCAGAAGCCAAGAATGTTGTAGAAGCACAACAGCAACTATTTGCCTGGAAGGAGAGCTGCTTTTTTAGTGTCACGGCTGTGCTGTGCCATTCCAGCTGTGGGTAGGGACAGTAAGAATGTCACATCGAGAAGAAAGGAATTTGGCATGGGGATGGATGAAACTATCTGATCTCTGAGATTCTGTAGATATTCTTGGCAGCTACAGTGATCCTGTGGAGACAGAGCCTGCGATGGATACATATTGAGAAATGAATGTTTAAGGGATAAGCCTCTGGGAGGATGCAAAGCCCTTGCTGTCACACATCTGTCTGGAATGGGACATAGTTCAAAACAGATGCCTCGAGCATCAAGACATCACTGGACTGGATCATAGTCCAGATAGGAGAAAGGGGCTAAGAGAGTCCCACTAGCACTGAGATTTTGTAAGAAGTTTGGAAAATGAATTGAATGCGATTTAAATAAAGTTGCACTCTAGATTTGCAAGCAATGTCTGCCAATAATGAGGAAGAAAGTAAAAGAAAAATATTTTGTACTTCATCTTGCCTTTGGGAGACTTACTGGAAACTAGGAAAACACGCTAAGAGGGAACAGGCGTAAAGAACATAAGCCACAGAGGTATTCCCTAAAAAAAAAAAAAAAGGACAAGAAGAAGTTTCGATCAGAACATTCTGTGACTGTGCTAGGGCTGAAGAAACTATTTTTGAGAGCTTGAGTTCTAGAGAAGACATCAATCATGTTTGAGATTTAGGACTGGAACAGCCCATGCCACTTGTGCACTGTGACAAAGAGCACCAGCCAGTGCGAAGCCCGAACCACTGGAAAAGATCCAGGAACTGAAAAAGGTGATACAACTTTGGAAGAGCTTGGACAATTCAGCAAGGTACACATGCATGGGCAAAGCGAATGACCGGGCTCAGGACGCCTTACAGGAGCAAAAGGCACAAACGTGGTGGACATGTCTGGGGTTAAACAGTATGATACTCATTTTCAGCTGTCCCATCAACTAATATGCTGCCAAAAATAGTGTTATTACACTTACATTAAAACCTACCGGGAGTGGAAAGGAAGAGAGTTGACTCACAGAGCTTAAAATCACAAGGCTAATCCTTAAGAAGATACGTGAGAAATAAATGTACAAATTCATAATAGACAGGAAAAGGGGGCAAGTGCTATGCCTTTCAGAGCACCAAGGTGATCTAAGCATTTGCATCCTGTTCTAAGAACATGAGCAAAAAAGCTGAGAAATAATTTGAAGCCATTTCCCAGTGGATCAATACTTCAAGAATACTAAAAACTGCAGGAACGTGTTGAATTGTCCCACAATTCTCATGCCTGTGTGAGCCCTTCATATCATAAGGCTGTGCTTTAAGGAGGAGCTGGATACACTCATTGCTCTGGGATGACTGGAGGAACTGGCAGAGTAGTTCTTGTAGTTATAGAAAAGATGAATGAAACTCCTTGTTTGTCTATAGATAGACCTGAAGGAACAAAACAGGTCTGTTATTCTACCGAGGGGAAATATGGACAGTGACAAACACATTTCTGTCCTTAGTACATCACAAGGCTCCTGGCAGGTGTTCACATTAGGAAAAAGAAAAGAGCAGATTTTTTGAACTTCCATGAAACCTTTGTGAGCTGCACTGTTTTCTCAGATGTCTATTTAGGCTGTGTTTGGCACCTGAGGAAAAATGTGATAAATTTTTCATGCCTTTCAGGTTAGGAAGATTTATACAGATGACATTTAGATCTGATGAAAAACACTGGCTTGGAGCAGCCGTGGAAAGAAACTGCTTCTGGGCTGAAGCTGGCCAAACAACACTGTAAATGCCATGTAACACAAATAATAACATACTTTAAGAAAAGTGAGCACAAACCCCAAGTAAATCACCAGAAAATATTCAGCAATTTGTGTTCTCCAACAATATCTGGGTGCTGAATTGTAAAGAGAAATATGTACCTAGTGTAGCTTCTTGACACTGCTGTCATGATGACCTTATATGTAATTATTGAAAAAATTGAGAAATAGAAGGAATTAATTAGACATTTCAGATCTAGGAGTAAATAATTTGTGGAAGATTTTGGGGCATATGTTGATGTAGTCCTTTTAAACAGTGTGGAAAAAACAAATAATCACAGTAGTTCATGAGTAAACAAAACTTAGCTATACTCAGAGGAAAAAAAAAGAAGATTCAATCTTAGTCATGGAAATAAACAAAACCATACATTTTTATTTACTGATTTTATTATAAATCATAAGGAATTACCAAACAGAGCCTGGACAATGGTTATTTTTCATTATTTTTTAGATATGGAGTGTGACTTGCAGCTTCAATATAACCTTGAAATTGAAGGAGTTCCAAAGCATTTGACAATGCAACCAAATCCAGAGAGATATTTGTACATCACTTTTATTGCAACAATAGTTACTGAGGCTGAGATGCTTCGGAAAACAATTCTCATTCAGGAATGCAAGATTAAATTTAGCTGAAATCATGAGAGTGGTCAACTTGACAGTACTACTGGGAAAGACCTTCCAGAGCATACGTGCAGATAATTTTAGGATTCAGATGTGTAAGGAGAAGGCAAGAGACATCTTGTACATGAGTCTCAGCTGAACAGTTGTGTTCAGAAAGAGAATAAGGTGTATCCTATGTAGTATGGTCATGATGAAGGCTGTATCTAGTGAAAGAGTTTACAGAAAAACAGGAAAAAACTTGAATTGTGAGAGGATGGGCTTATTTGCGCTTTCTGTGTCTTTATGTTACAAACCATTATTCTTTTTTTCCTGGGATAGTCTTACTATCTATTACTATTTGCCCCTGACAAGAGGACTCCAGAAGACCGTAGTGAGTGTCAAATTTATTTTTGTTGACCTAGCATAGCTGACAACAGGCAGCTGTTTAGCAAACACAAGCCTAAGTAGGGAATTATGCTTTTATAGAGGCTCTGTCCAGTCCCTCTTGCTCGGTCCAATAAAGCAATGGAAAAGACCGTGCAGAAATACAGAGACAGGTGAATTGCACCTGCGTAGATGTCCTCTGGGGCCCTAGGAGCTGCTGGTGCTTCATGGGCTGTGCAATGTTGAGGCAGGAAAACCGGCCCCAGCGTGGAATGAGCCCTGGGCCAGGGTGTCAGAGCCATTGCAGGGGCAGGCAGGGCTGCTCCATCCGTGCCGTAATCAGCCTGTCAGTCCTGTCCCTGCCATGGTCCTGCAGCAGCAGCCTGCACCCTGTCATGACCCTGGCTGGGCTCAGCAGGGGAGCAGGGGGCTGGCTGCTTCTGGATGGGTTGCGCAGGTCCAGGGTTGGTGTCCAGGTCCTCCTGGCCCCGGAGGAGGAAGGGCAGAGCCATGGGTCTGCACACACAGCTGGTCCAAACCTCCCTCCTCCAGGCCCTGCAGGCACTCATCCCAGAGCAGGCAGTCTGATGTGGACGTGCTCTTTCCTCCGTCACCACCAATGGCTTTGCTGTGACTGCAACATTCTACTGTCGCCTGCAGTAATCTGCTTTCGGGACACTTCTCTGGGCTGCTGGTCTTCTCTCAGGACTTCCTCCAGACCTGGGGTGGGAAAAACCAGGACTCCTGCAGCCACCACGAGTCAAGAGCTCCTGGCCACCCCTCCTGCACAGCCTCCATCTCCACGTGCAGGTGGCAACTCCCTGCAGTCCCTCCTCTGGCTTCCCCAGTACTTCTCACAGCTTCTGGCTCCTCCACTCCTCCTCTCACCTCTCCTTTTTTGCCTCGCCCATCCAAAAGTCCAGTAAACCACAAGACCTGCTTGCTGACATTCTCCTGGCTCTGGCCACTCTGTCCATCTCTGCCACCAGAAAGGTGGAGGGCAAAAGAGGGGACTCTGTGACCATGGGGCTTGCCTACCACTCCTAGATAGCCAACAAACCCAACAGCTCCCAGCAGCCTGCTGGTGGTGGTGTTCTCTGCTCTGTGTCCCTCACTGGGGTCCTTGTGATATATTTTTGAGCTCTCAACTCTCACACTTCATCCTTACTTTTTTTTTTCCCATTTGTTGCCTCCTGTCATCACTTGCTTGTGCTCCTTTTTTTAGGAAAAAAAAAAAAAGAGCAATGGTGTTACAAAGCTGCATGTTGTTTGTAGGAGGTTGTTTCCCCAGGCTCAGAGATATTGTGGAAGAAGAGATGACAACCTTCTAAAAAAAATCCCAGAAGGGAAACAGAAGAGGCACAGAGCCTGTCACTTTGTGCTGCAAAATCTCCATCAGACAGCAAACACACACTGAGACCACGGAGTCCCAGGACACACAGCTAGGATCGCTGCCCCTGGGAGAAGCAGTCCTGGTGCCCTCAGGGAGCCAGCATGCCCACGGGGACACCGCAGGGCACCTGAAAGGCTGCTGGAAACTTACTGATAAATGCAGTCTCAAGGCTGGTGATAAACATTTGCAGCTCTCTGTTATATCACTGTTTGAAATATACGTGTTTTTATGTTTTGCCTGGCAGGGAAGGTATAGTCTTGGGATTGTGCCTTAAAGTTTTAGCATCTGAAACAAAAGTTCTGGCTATAGCATTGTAAAACCCTTCTTTGTTATATGCAGCCTTCACAGATCGTAGGACATAATAGACCAGATCTCATGCTGGGTGCTTATTCTGACATCCAAAATTGCAAAGGTATTCAGAATGGAAGTCAACACATCTTTCAGGATTTAGACACTAGAAATCACAAAACACCATCAAGCACACTAGTTACCCAGATGTCAGTGATGCCAGAGTAGGAT